CTCCACTTTCCTCATTCCTTGCAGTGCTTTCAGTCTCTGGCGATGTTCATTTGGTGCAACAAGAGAGAGGCTGCAGTGCCAGTTCTGGCTACCAGAATCCTCTGACTCTGAGCAATTCACTTAGGGGGCTACTGACAACAGCCAGCTTTACCCTGAGAAGAGGACATTCCCTTTAACCTCACTGGAGAGGATCCAGCATCTCCAGCATTCAGTTCAGAGCAAGTCAGTCAAATTCCTCTCAGCCTCCCTCTCTGCATCCCTTCTCCCCACTGGCTGTACTGGAAGACCAACTCCTTTGGCTCCTTTTTTTTTTTTCCTTTTTTTTTCTAAAAAGCACTTCTGTAAATTACAAAAAATTTCTCTCTTCCAGGAGGCTGGAAGATGTAAATATTTAGAAGATGCTACAATCTGTTGTCCTTGTGGCCAAGAGGAAACTCTCGGTGATGGACACTCTGGAACAGACCCAGTGTTTTCTGGGCTCTCACCCTTTGCTCCAGCCTCCATCAGCTGGCAGAGAGCCCCACTGTGATGTGGTGTCCTGTTCCCATTTTGTGAGAGCAACCATCTGAAAGGGGGAGCAGGGAAAGCTGGATAAAAACTGGGAAAAAAATCTCTTGATTTAATGGGCTTCATTCTTCCACCTCCATGAGCACATGCAGCTAACGGGGCTCATTCAGAAATCCAGGATAAAATTCAGCAATGAACGAAAAGGGCAGCTGATAAAAAGTGACTGAACCCATTCCATGCTATTTCCAGTCAAAGGACCTGTCTGGGAAAGTTCATAGTCCTGAAATAAACCTATCACATGAAATATCCGTCTTCTTCCCTAGAGGAAATTAAGGATCTAATCAATCAGCTGGGGGAGGGAGGGAAGAGCATTCAGGAAAAGGTGAGGCTGGAGACTGAGAAGGATGAACTGCAGGTGGCACTGGAGGAAGCAGAGTCTTCCCAGGAGGTACCAATGCTGTAGATGTGAGAGGTGCCCTCCAGCCTGGTGCCTGCTGCCCACATTCCAACAGATGGATTTTTTACGTACAGCTGGAGGGACTGGGTACATATAATTATGTACAGCATAATTACATCATGTACATAATAAGGCTGCAGCATGGAGGCTTTAAGTTAGACATTAGGAAAGTTTTCAAAATCATTAAGGGGAATTACTCCTTGGACCAGATTGTCTGGGGGCTGTAGATTCTCCCTTACTGCAAGTTAAGTGCAGTCTGGTCACACATCGTCAAGTGGGTCTGGTTTTTAGCAGGAGATGATCCAGGTTTTAGGCAGCACATTTTTAAGATGACCTCTTGAAAGCTCTCCAGCCCTGCTTTAAAAGAAGGTATTCATGAAGGGCTGGGTGTGAAATGCTGGTATCTCAGCTTTAACAGGTTTGAAAAGTTACCGTATTTTTATTACTTGGTGGGCAATAATTTGATACAAGGGCTGGATCAGACTCAAGATAACAGACTGCTGCACCATATGCTTCGCTGGACCCCACAGAAATAATCACCAGCATGCAATTGAGTCTCTGCAGGCGAGTCTGGGGATTGAAGGGAAGGGGAATGCTGAAGCTCTCCGGCTGAAGATGATGGACACTGACCTGACCAGAATGGAAATGCAGCTGGATCATGCCAGCAGGAACAACAGTGAGCTTGTCATGTCCAGGTAAACTGGAGAGGGCGGAAGCAGGTCCTGGATGGAAAAGCACACCAGCTCTGTTTTATGCTTGAGCAACAAAGCAGTAGATTATGTACTTGTGTTTAGACAGACATCTTGAACACACTGAGAATTTATACTTGAAAGCCCTGGTTCTCCCACTCACACCAATTTCAATCTGCACTGGTTCCAAGAAACCTTATACAAGAGAAGCATTATTATCAGCTTTTGATAAACTACAAATCTAAGGAATTATTCATATGTAATTAACCAAAAAAGATCTGTGTTCAAAGAGAAGTTGTGACTGCTGTTTGAACAGGATTAGCCAGGAAACGGATTAGAAACTAACAGATATAAAACTAAGGAGCTTCCTTCAGCTCCTCATTGCTGAAATAAAATGAAGTAAATTAGTAAAAGGCTGTCTCTTTGTTGGAACAAATACAACTGCTGCCAAAAATCCCATTTTAGTAACTTAAAGACTAACAACAACTATTCCTTCTCTCTGCACACGTGTATATACATATATATACACACACTCAAACCTGACTTGTCCTCAGTGACATCAGCCTCTAAAAGTCAGCGTGGCTGCAAGGACAGGCAAACATGATACTGAGACCCAGAGCTGGGGTTCTCCTGGGGTTTGGATTTGGGCTTTGCTTTTATAAAAAAAAAAAAAATAATAATCTGGCATCACCTTAAAGAGCAGCTTTGCAGAGAGACCTCCTACAACTTTCAGCTTCCTCTCCCTTCGTTATTTACATTAATCTTTCATCTGCTCTCAGGACCTTCGGATCCAAAGGGATGGGGATGTTTGCCAGCACGAGGAGCTGCAGGAGCAGTAAGTGCTGCCTCTGCCCACCTCAGAGAGAGCTGGAAGAAGTGCAGACTGACCTGGAGGGCAGCAAGCACTCGGGAAAACTCCAGGAGCAGGCAGAGGTCATGGAGAAGGCCTGGTGAACTCAGAGTCCATGCCCAGAGAAAACAGAACTATTTATGCAACAGCAACCTGAGAGCTCCTGTGCGTGTGGTTTAACGTTAAATCTTAACTGTGGGTTAGCAGTGCAGCATTAGGCCAACCATGGATAAATATAACAGTGGTCTATAAAGCAGGTCTGATAACTCTATGGAAAATGAAGAGCTCAGTCTTTGGAGATATTACACTGACAGCAGGGTCTTTTAAAAAAGCACCATCCTGGCCCAGCTTTGCTCCTAAGCAAGGCTTATGAGAAGACTTTTTGCAGATTTGGTGGAAGAGTTAAGACACTGATGAGGAAAAACCCATCACAAAATGGACAGAGTACAATTGTGCCCCCACTGAAACTCGGGTTTTATGACTTGTTTCCATGGTGCTCAGATTTCTTCCACAGCCTGTAGCCCACAGCGAGCTCCATTTCAGTGAAATGTTCAGCCTCCTTGCATTCCAGATTGCAGCATGAAATAACATACCTGCCACTTCATTTTGTGCCCAGATTTATGAAGCTGCTTTAACATTCACCATTACCCTCCGCAGCGCTTTTCCCATAAAGACCACCCATGATAACATTTCCGAGGAGGAGAGCGTAACTTCTGGAAGGGACTGATAAATCCAAGAACCATCTCTCAGCTGCGATTATGGGGCATTGGTTATAAAAACTGAGTCGTAAAATGCGGCTTTTATTCTGACAGGATAAAAAAAAATACAACCAAGACATTCCCTTCCAATTGACCGATAATAAAAGGATACACTTCAAGCAGGTGAACTGCTATCTGCAGACTAAATTGGGAGTTTAAAGCTAATTTGTTATATAAAACCCACACAGCACTGGGCTTGTGCAGCATTCTGAAACACAATGGCACATTTACATGATGTTGTTCTGCTGAAGAGCAGCTTGTGTTACTAGAATGCAATTTTTCTATTAAAGCCTTTTTAGTTCTCCTTCCACAGATTGGGGTTTTTTTTTCTTTCATCATTATTATTTTTACAGCAGCAACAACAACAGTCCTCCAGTGATTCATATCAGTAAACAGTAAGCACTAAATGAGCTGTTGGGCTCCTCTTTTCCACGAGATAAAAAGACACATCCCTATTGTAAAGTGTGGAGCAGAGGCTGTGTTTGTTGAGGATGCAATCAAACACAGCTTCAGTCAGGTCTAAAGCCAGCTGCTGCTGCTGCAGCAGAGCTTGGAAATAAATAATATTGGTGGGCAAACTCAAATCCACACAGAAATTCAGAATAAAGCAGACTCAGGCTCAAGGTCCTCGTAAACAACAGGGTCTGTTTCTGCCTCAGAGGTGTATCATTATTTTAGCTCTCACTTAGCCTGTGAGTAAACACACGGGCCTTAATGCTCTATAATGCAGATCCAGTGGGGATGAATCCCATTTGGCTTAACAGTGCACAGTTTTATGGAGGAAAAACAAACTACCCAGCAAACTGATGCACAAATCACCTCCTTGAGAGCCTGACGGAAGAAAGGAGCAGATAAGACATTCTGGGTCTCTAAGACTGATTTCTGCCCTCTAAAATCAGTTTGTTTACTATTAAATGAAAGCTGGGGCCTGACCTCCAACACTGTACTAATGAGCACAAGGAAATCATCAGTGAGCACTGAGCAGCTGATGAGAGAGCAAAGCAAGCTGTGGCTGATGCAAGTCACCTCCCCACCTTTCTGCCCTTTCTGCTGGCAGCTGGAAACCTTAAGCTATATATCCCATTATTTCTCTCCGGTGCCGATTTGAAAGCACAGTGTTAATAACAGATGTCAGCACTTGCTTTTTTGTGATCCTGGAAAGCAGGATGCACGTTAGCTCACGGATTGCAGCCCGGCAGAAATTAATCCACAAAAGAAGAAATTCACTTTCCCTCTGCCTCCCTGGTAATCTGCATCCCAGATGGCACCCTGAGGAATTCCTCCATTTCCTCTCGATTTGTCCTTTCTTTCCCTTATTACACAACTCCACTCCTCACACCTCTCAGCCCTCCAACAAAGAGTAGGCTGGGTTCCCTCTCCAGCTAGTCAATGGCATTCAGAATTGGCACAGAGGGGAGAGAAGCTGCCAGCACCGAGCAGATTGCTCCTTTGGCACTGTGCTGACAACTGGCACTTCCGAAATATCACAGCGAGCCGCGGGTTTAGTGCACAGCATCTCCTCCCAGACCCAGGCTGAGCCTTCTGCCACCTTTGTGCTTTCTGTTGCTCTGTGTCCAGACAATGTCTTCACCCTCCACCTACACCTCAGCCACCTTCTTTCCACCGAAGGGCAGAAATAAAAGCCTGAAGCGTTGTTAGAACCAAAACTATTGACTTAATAACATGTGATTAACTTAATAACACCTTTGACTAGTCCAGTGGTAAAAGAACGAGCATCCCACCCCCTGCTTTATGGTCCAACCTAGAGTTGTCCAAATCAGCTGGGCTTATTCAAATTGATTTCAGTGAACTCTGGATCCATTCTTCAGAAAGGCAGCTTATGATACACAGAAAAATTAAAGATATGGCAAAATTCCCCAGAAGGTGACACACAGATTTCGAATCTACATATGCAGCTTTCCATGAGCTGTATAAATAGCTGTGCTCCCAATCTGTTTCATACCTTCCTCACAGCCTTCCTGTGTGGCAAAAGATCTGTGTCAGGAGCAGGATCATTACTTGCACCTGGAAAAAATTCAGAACAACTATTAAATTGCAGTAAGAGACCTGTAAGTCAAGATGGAATAGGCTGAGCAGTTAACCCTGAAAGGAAGAGGGGGGGGAAAACCCCACCATTATGAAACCCCAGGGTAAGAAAAACACGTAAAAATATATATTAGGAAGATTATTCCAACAGAGCAGCTATGAAACTCTTTCCTGCACTTGAGCTTTCACATTCAGCACAGATACCTGAAAAGGAACATTTTCCTTTAACAACAAACACATCCCAAAGGGAATGCTGTAATTCAAGGAAACCCAGACTAGGCAGAAAAGCTGCACACAGGACACTCTGAACCCGCTGGAGCACGAGGGAACTTCAGCACTTTGCACCCCGTGCAGAACTCATCCATCAGGATCTTTATGGTGCCTGAGCAGAGCAGGAACAAGCCACTGGTACCAGCAGCTGATCTACACCCACAAAGGAGAATTTTCCAAGTGTACTGTCAGCAGCAGCACAATTTGCCTTTTATTTTTCAGCTGCAACTGAAGTCTGGAGCATGAGAAGCTTCAAAATCTTAGAGTAGATACCATCTTCCTATTTTTGATCCTCATAATTATCACATCAATTATCCTTCTGCTCCTCTTCAGTTGAAGGAGCTGGAAATAGGGCCAGACTCCAAACAGAAACACCACAGGGAGCCCAAAAATTCTGCACAAGAATTATTCTTGCAACCTCCAACCAGTGCATGCAGGAGCAACTGGGAAAGATGCAGAACAAACTGTAAGTGAGGAGTCTGTAGGTATTCCCTGCCCTAGCTCAGTGTTTCCTCACTTGGGAGTTGGATTTAAAGATTCTTACGGGTCCCTTCCAGCCTGAGGTGTTCTGTGATCACACAATGGCACCTTGTGCACACCAGGGGCATTTTGCCTCTCCAAAAAAACATACTGCAGGAAGCACACATTCAGTTTACACTGACAGCATCTCTAGGCATGTAGGCTTGGATGCAGCTTCAAAGACAGTCACCTGGAAGTGGGCACCATTCTTTAAAAAGGATTCTTCTCCTCTGCCTTCTTTGCAGCCACTTCCTGTCCTCAAACACAGTCTCCAACATGTGCACAGACATGAATTTATAAAATACCTTTTAACTGCAATCCTTCAGGGTCATCCAAGGGCCTCCATCCTCTTCCTGTGTGGCAGAGCATCAGGAACAGGCAGCAAAGCTGGAACTCGCATGTTTGGATCCACCTGCCATGAATTTATTAGAGCAGAAAAGGGTGTGGGATGGAGATGAGGAAAGCACAGGTGTGTTCTCAACACCAACTGACTCATGCAAAAGGGAACAGAGACATCCCACAAGGCCCTGTAGGTACTGCTGGACCAGCTAATGGTCAGCACAGATGTAGAGTACAGACTGAAAACCAGGCTTGAGGTATCAGACATGTGAAGAAGATTAGAAGACAGAAGAAGTGTGAAATGATCTGCAGATAAAAGAATTATCTGTGTGTCAGACCCCAAATAATCCCTTGCTAATGCATCTGGAATGATGGGAGACATCCAACACTATGTGAAGGATCTGTGTTAACACAGGTTTGGGATTTTTCAAGTCAAGGGTAGAAGGTGTGACCTGGGCTGTCTCCTGCAAATAATTCCTCTCATCAATAGCCTTTACTAATAGTCTTATTAAAGCTTATTGTACAGGGAAACCCACATTTGTTCCCAGTGAGAAAGCAGAACGCTGTGTTCAGGGCTGAAGCTCAAAATTAAGATGTGAGACACTACAGGGTGCTGCAACAGGAGGGGAGAGAGCCCAGAAAGAGTGAATTCAAACGAGCTGGGAGGCAGAAGCACCTCCTGTGGCTGCTTACATTTGTTGCCTCTCCCTTTTAAACATTAGCATGATATGACACTGTGCTAAAAACTGCTGTATTTTCACACACTGGGACTAACAAGGCACATCCAGAATGCCTCTCAGAAAGCAAGACTTTTCATCAGCAATCACCTATATGTGTCTGTGACAGCCTGCTTCCAAAAGATCTCCTTTTGGCTAGCTGTTACTCTTTTGCTGCACGAGGGCGTCCCAGGTCAAATCTTTTTCATATATACCTTAAGGTCACATTGCATTGAAATCACTTTCACTTGCTTGCCAGGCTTTAATCTCAAAAACATCAACATCCCTCCTGGATTAAGCACAGCGTAATTGAATCAGCTCTGCAGCAGGAGCAGCGGTGGAAAGTTCTTTGGAAAGGCTCCACTGGAGACAGGGTCTTAGCTTTTAATGCCTCAGAGCCCTGCAGAGTTCCTCGTTTAGATACTTTCCCTCCATCTGGTGAAAACCCTTTTGTAAACACATAAAACCGTACTTAAAACGCAATCCCGCTCCCGTTACGTAATTTTCCCTCGGCCCAGTTGCGTGTCTTTAATCCGGGCAGCTGATCTGGTTTGGTTGTTAAGCCAATAAGGGCTGCAATGATTACACATCTCACGGCCACAGGACCGCAGAGACCCCCACCTCGCCTCCTTCCTCGACGCGAGGCCTCGTGTGCTGCCATTCCAACAAATAGTTCGGATCCGCTCCTAAAAACCCCGCAGGAGCAGCCCCACGTCCTGCCAGGTCAGTTCCTAACACAGGGCTTGACTCCTTCAAAGGAATCACCGAGGATTTTTTTCCCCCTGTAGCCCAGATCTGCCTCGCTGTTATCTCAGCTTATGACTTCTCGCCCTACCCCCGTAGACATCAGAGGACAAATCGTTCCTTTCCTCAGAGCTGCAGCCTTTCAGCTATTTGAAGACTGTGCACATCCTCCCCCAGTCCTCTCTCCTCTCAACAGGCTCAGCAGAAGTCATGTCTTCAAAGACTCTGATCATTATTGGCACCTTTTTCTCCAAATTATCCCTGTTTCTCTGGTGCACAGCCCAGGACTGGCCTTACCCTTCTAACTCAGCTCAGCAGAGCAGGACTCCTGTGTTTAGTACTTGTATTTTCTTACTTACATGGACCACGGTGCTTGCCTCTTCTGCAACGAGAGATTTTGGATTCCTGTTCAGCTTTTGACCCATGGGCCCTCCATCCTTTCCTGCAGCACAGCCAACTTCCCTGTTCCCAGTCTGCCTCTAAAGCTGGGGGTGTTGAAATGCACCTGCTGCTGAACCACATCCCATTTTTCCACAGAGCTCCTACTTTGAATACTAGCTCTGCCACTGTGTTTATTCTGAACCTGATCTCATCTCCAAATGCAGTAATTGCATTATTTCATCACGGATGACTAATGTACAGGTCCAAGCACTGATATCAAGTACTTTTTCCCTCAACCTGTTTTGCAGCTCCTTCAGAGTGGTATCACCTAGACCTGTTTCCCAGTTTGTTATTAGAGTATCTTGCAAGCCAGTGTCAGAAGCTCTACTAAAAATCAAGATATATGACATACACTGCTTCGCCCTTATCTGCAATCCTTGTTATGCCGCCAGAAAAGAGGAAATTAGATTGGCTCAATTCATTCACAACAAAGCCATACCGGCCAGCATTCACCTTCTTTTTTTGCCTTCGAGATGCTTATAAATTGTTTATTTTCTCTCAGACTCAAAATTAAACCCACTACTCTATTGCTTCTCAGGATATCTGGGAGTCACTTATCTCTCCCCATTCCCCCACACTTTTTTGTCCGTTGTTGCTGTATTTGAGCTCACAAAATCTCACGGGCGGTGGAGTTTGAAGGAGCCAAGAAACGAGACCCCAAGGAGGAGGCAGTTCCTCAAGGGGGTTAAGAGCAGGGAAATGTGTTGTTAATGAACTTATTTTGATATTCCACCCCTGAACCACAGAATCATGGAATGGTTTGTGTTGGAAGGGACCTTAGAGATCATCCAGTACCAAGTCCCTGCCATGGGCAGGGACACCTCCCACTATCCCAGGTTGCTCCAAGCCCCGTCCAACCTGGCCTTGGACACTTGCAGGGATGGGGCAGCCACAGCTTCTCTGGGCAACCTGTGCCAGGGCCTGCCCATCCTCACAGGGAGGAATTTATCCCCAGTATCCCATCTGTCAGTGTGAAGCCGTTCCCCTTGTCCTGTCACTCCGGGCCTTTGTCCCATGTCCCTCTCCAGCTCCTGGAGCCCCTTTAGGCACTGGAAGGAGCTCCAAGGATCTCCGTGGAATCTTCTCTTCTGGTATATCTGTATTGCTGGCACCTCTGTATTTTGGGAGTCATCTACCGGAAACGATTAATCATCACATTTTTGGTTTTTTCTCCTCAGAGAAACAACCTAGGGGAGACCTACCCACCTACGTTCCTGCGTCTTTTTTCCCCTCCTTGTCCTCCAGGCTGATCACAGAAACAGAGGAGGCTGTAGTGAGGTGAGGGCCAGACACTTCTACTGAGTCTACAGGGACGACTGGAGGAAAGGGGCTGAGAGACGGGAGATTCAGATCAGACATCATTAATTTTTTTTTTTTTTCACTGTCCAAGTGGCCACACATCGGAACGGGCTGGGCGGGGGGTTGGTGGTGGTGGCGGGTCCATCACCCTTGCAGGTCTTTAGGGATCACAGCGCAGGTTCAGCGCGCCGACGGTTGGACCGTACAATTTCAAAAAGCCTCTCCCAACCCCGACAATTCCGCGATGTTTTGTTTTGTGTTTTTTTTTTCCTCCGACCCTCCCCTCCCTGAGGGGGCCGCGCAGGCGCCGCCCCGCCCCCGGTGTGTGTGAGGGGGCCGGCCCGGCGCGTGCGCGCAGCGCGTTTCCTGCCGCCCGTGTCCCAGCCGGGCCCCCTCGGCCTCTCCCGCCGCCGGAGCGGAGTCGCGTTGACTGCCCAGAGTCCGCGAGTCCCGCTCCCCCCCGCCGCCCCAGGTGAGCCCCCGCCCCGCCGGGGATGGCCGTGAGCCCCGCCGGGATGAGGGGATGGCAGGGGGTGAGGTGGAGCCGGGGCGGGGAGGGACCGGGGTGGGAGGCGCCGCAGCATCGCTGCCCCGAGGGGCTGGGGGCGCCCGTGCTGAGGGGCCGGGGAGGGGCAGCGCCGGCCGTGCTCGCTCGTATCGCCCCAGCCGTGCCCCCTGTATCCCTCCCCTGTGCCCCCACATCATCCCCTGCCCTCGTCCCACCCCCACATCCCTCCCCGTGCCCCCCACATCCCTCCCCGTGCCTCCCCATATCCCTCGCCCTGTCCCCTGCCCCGTATGCCTCCCTGTACCCCTTTGTATTCCTCCCAGTGCCCTCCTGGAGCTCCTGTCATGATCCCCCCTATCCCCCCCGTGCCCCCCTGTATTCCTGGCCGTGCCCCCTGTGCTGGCAGGGCCGCAGCCCCTGATCCATCCCCATCCCCGTGTCCTGTGTCAGGAGATGCTCTGGAGGAGTCATCCCCTTGGGAAGGCTGCGCTGAGTGGCTCGGAAGGGAGTGACAGTGAAAGGGGGCTGTGCTTAATCACAGGGGCTTTTGGAAGTGATGTAGGTGCTCTGAGAATGGGCAGGGATTAAAAAGATCCTTTCTCTTTCCCTCTCTTTTTCTCTGTCGCACAAACACCTTCCATCCCCACTTCCAAGTCCACGTCCTGGCTGGTTGCTTGTCCAGGGATGGCCTTGGACCACGTTTCTCACCCAATGGATAAATGACAGCAGCTGAGCCCTGTATTTCCCAACTTTGATCCTTTCAGTTCTTATACTGAAAGAACTCCTACTGTACAAAGGTGCAAGATTCCCCCTTTTTTATTAAAAAAAAAAAAAAATTGAAACTCAAACCCAGTTACTTTGTATTTGGGGAAAAAGCTGAGGGAGAGCTGCATTAAATACCTGACTAACAAAGCCATCGTAACATTGTCTTACCTGGGTGAGATTCTGAGGTTGGCTGACAGGAAGGCATTTGAGGTTATTAATTTATCATAGGGCCAGTGGCATTTTTCCCTCCTGAAATAAGAGTTTGATTTTTGTTTGTGTGTTGGGAAGGAATAAATAAAACTGGAAAACTTCAATAAGATTTATCTGCCCTGAGGAAATGGCACTGCAGCTATCAGGAGACAGAAATAGCAGTGATTTTTTGAGGTTATCATCACTGTTGGGTTTTATGGGTTTGTTACCAAACCAAAGTGGAAAGCAGCAATTTGCATCAATTTATGGACCTCAGGAAACTCAGTCAATGGGAAGGGATGGATCATACAGGTTTGGGCCTGTTTTGGGAACAGCTAAGTAAAAATATCTGAACTAGAAGTTAGGATGGGACCATATTTTATATGCAGTGCCAATCTGTGGAAAGAAAAACCACCCAGGGTTGTATTAGAAAGTGTTTCAAAATAGCTGCATTCCTCGGGGAGGGGAGGTTGGATATTTTTACATTTTATTTCGGAAAGAGTAGCAAAGGCTGAGCATTCCTTGTTGGTGGAACAGCTCTTGAACTTTTCCTGTATATGGAAATGTGCTGCTACCGAATGTTGGCATGAGCTAAAGCCAGGTCCTGGAAAAAGCACTTTGCAGTTGTGCCTTGCTTATATTCACACGTGGAATCTCAAATGATGGATGTCCAAGGTCAGAGGTAACTCAAATTATATCAACATTTTCACATTAAAAAAAAAAAAAAAAATTAATTGTTCTGCTTAGGGCAGAACTTCATTTGATTGGTAGAATGTGGTTGTTAGAAGAACCATGAAACTCATGCTGGTTAAAACTGTGAACTGGACTTAAAGCTTGTACAGTTAAGCTTTGTTTGAAGTACATTTGAAATGCAGCCATCACTTGCATTTCTTTAGAACAAGTGGTGGTGTGGTAGCAATTGCTAAAGCTCCATAAGAATTTACTCATCCCTCTTTCACTCCTGAGTTTCTGTTGGATTGCCTTCATTTCCTGTTTGCTTCCAAATTCCTACCTTGTCCTGAAGTCTCCACCCTCTGCTAACATGGCCTTACTTGGGTATGTTGTAATTTCAGGCTGTGATGGGTGTGGATGTCTTGGGATGACATCACGGAGATGGTTCTTTTCCAGTGTATAGGTGGGGGTAAAACCACTTTGATCCATCACTCAGGGAGAAATTGCTGTGAAAATAGGTGGAATACATGGAAGGGATTGACAAATCCTGGTTGGATGTAATTGAACTGTGCACATTATAATTATTACAGGTGACCTGGAGTTTTTATTACATTATCTTCCATCCGTTTGTGCTGCCTGTGGTTAATACAGGACATAGAATACAATATTTAAAATACTTACAAACTATAATGATTCAGCTTGTTCTTTTAGTATTTGAGTCTCATGGGGGCAAAAGCCTGACTATCAAACAGTTTAGTGCTAGAATTAATTTGAAGGAATCACTAATTAGTTAATTACTAATCTTAATAATTTTTCCCTGGAAACACATAAATGGCTTTATCAAATAATACATCAGCAGATCACAGTCACATATCAGTTTAACCTTCTGAAAGAAGATATTGTTGTAGTGCTGCCTGTGAGCCTGGGTACATGTCAGGTTTTTAATCAGTTTACTGAGCTATGTCCTAGATATTTATTTTTTTTAATTATTCTATTTCCATAGTAAAATTAGGAGGTTTATTAGATTTCTTGAGCACCTGCTCCCTTGTCTGTGAGGATACCCTCAGAAGCAAGTGTCTGTGGCTCTTAGGGCACCTGCAATTAGCTAAAGTAAGCAGGGCAATTAATATTCATTGTCCTACTAAAGCTATCAGGGTGTGTGACACAGGCAGCCCTTGAGTAAATTAATATATTCATGGAGTAACTTGGGATCTCCTGCAAGGAAATTGCAACACTGCACTGGAAGATCCTCAGTAAATGTTGAAGCTGATCTTTGTTTTAATAATTCTCTCATTTTGAAGTGTTTTGTTTTCCATTTTGCACCTTTCAGCTCTTTCACTTTTTACAACATAGGAATCCCCGGACCTCGGAATGTCTCTGCATCAGTTCCTGCTGGAGCCAATCACCTGCCATGCCTGGAACAGAGACCGGACTCGTAAGTTAAATCTTCGCTTTCATTCTGAATTTATTCTTTTTTTTTTCAATTGCTATTTCCCTCTTGGCTGTCAGTTTGGGGTCTTGCAGTGTTCTGGGTCATGTTTAAGGGAGGTGTGGTCAGTTCTATGTGTCAGTTGTTCCATCTGTGATCCAAAAAGCACCCGTCCCCCAAAGCTGAGCTTTGCTGAACTCACTGCTGGAGCTCTGGCGTGGGAGCAGATCGAGTCTTCCTGGTGTTCCAGAAAGCTTTGCCTCTTGCTCTGCCCTGTGAGATTGACCTGACCCTCTCTGACCCTCGATTTCCATACCCCAAACCAGCCCTTTCTTTGAACAGTTCAGTTTTCTACTATAATGTGGACTTTTATGTTCCAAATGCATTGTCTTTCTGTGCAGAATACTCATGACCATGGTATGTGTACCAATATCTTCCACACTGACAGAGGGCAGGGTTAGATGGGAGATTGGGAAGGAATCCTTCCCTGTGAGGGTGGGCAGGCCCTGGCACAGGTTGCCCAGAGAAGCTGTGGCTGCTCCATCCCTGGGAGTGTCCAAGGTCAGGTTGGATGGGACTTGGAGCAACCTGGGCTAGTGGGAGGTGTCCCTGCCCATGGCAGGGGAGTGGAACTGGATGATCCTTAAGGTCCCTTCCAACACAAACCATTCCAGGATTCTATGATTCTATATCCATAATTATTTGAGATTTTCCAGGGATATTGGCCCTTTGTTTACAAAGCCCATGCAGTGCCCTCAAATTTGAGAATGGAGGGTTTAGGTGGGAAAGTCTTTTCAGATAAAACATTTGTAATCGAGAAGCCTTCAGTACTGTTGGGCTGTTTTATTTCTCCTTCCCAGAGATCGCCATTAGCCCCAACAACCACGAGGTCCACATCTACAAGAAGAGTGGGAACCAGTGGGTGAAGGCTCACGAGCTGAAGGAGCACAATGGACACATCACAGGTGAGACTGTGCTGAGCCCCTGGTTTTTTTCCCCAGCTGAGGCTGAACAGGAAATCTGCAGGTGTCGAGTAAATAGATCATTTTGTAGGTTGGCATTCCCACTTACAGAGAGCCTTGCAGCATTTTCCTGGACTGCATGCAATGGATGTTAGGAAGAAAAGCCCTATCTCATTTCCAGACATTTCAGTGGAGTAACTGAGCCTTTTTTGCTTGTCTATTGCTTATTTTTCATCCATCATGACATAATGAGAACACATTTTCGGTGTACTGAAGTAATCTGGTTGTGTCACAGTGATGCATGCTGCTCCCTTTCAAGTGCTAGCACTAAAATTTCATCAAGTATACGGCTCTAACAGTGGTTTATGGTTCCCAACAGCAATAAATATCCTTTTTAAGGGACTGTATAAACATTTGAAGTGGTCAATCCTGGACTTATGACAGGCCATCAGTAAGCACATTTATATTGCAGGCCCAGAGTATCTGTAGATCCACAATGAAAAT